GTGTGTGTTTGTGTGTGTGTGTGTGTGCGTGCGTGTGCGTGCGTGCGTGCGTGCAAGATTGAACATAGAACCTGCTTTAATTAGTACTTGGCCACTCAGAGACAAACAAGTCTACAACAAAATAAGTAGGAAAGAAATAGGAAATAAGTTGTGCAGTTGAGTTACTATTTAAAGTGAATAGGTTGGTTGGTTGGTTTAACATTTAAAGGACATAATGAAGCCAGGGGCTATTCAACCATAAGTACAGGGGGAAAACAAAATTTAAGAATTTACATTTCTTAAATGTGAAAAATTGAATTATAACATTGACATTAGTATTCAGACCAATTTTTTGGTCAGGTGTCCCTATTTCTCTTAATCATCTTTAAGATGTTTCTACACTTTGGTTGGAGATCACCTGTGATAAATTCACATACTGAATGCATATGATGTAGAAAGACACATCTGTCTCACAGCTGCATATCAGAGCAAAGACCAAGTCTTGAGATGGAATGTGCTACCGGCTGGGCTCAGAGACAGGACTGTGTGAAAACAAAGATCAGATCAGGGGAAGGTTAGAAACAAAGGGAAGAAGTCTTTAACAATCAGGACTCTTCCTATAGCTGGCTGCCAAACTGGCTGAGCAATAAAGAGAGAAGAACCTCAGTAACAGAGAAGACCAAGAACCTGATCATCACTCTGTGTTAAGATGAGAGAAACTTCCAAAATCTCAACAATAACTTTAACAGTTCAGTGAATAGGGGTTAATAACAATAATAATCATCATAATCAACTGATAAAAGCAACTAAAGCTGTTTAAATGTCAAGCAAGAAAGAAGAAATTTCACTCGCAGACTGTAAAAAAACACAAGATTCTCTTGTCTGCTGAAACCAGGCATTGCTCATCGCCTGCCCAATACCATCCCAGCAGCAGCATCATACTATGAGATAATTTTGTTCTAGACAAATACAGTCTATGTATGATGTGCTGTGTGAGGCTTCACAGAGAAAGATTGAAAGTTTGATATGTAACCAAAGGTAAACTACCTTAATATCAGTAGTATTATTTTTTCTTAAGTTTCTTCTTTGTTCTTAAAACAGTTCCTAAGAAAACTCTAGATTGGATTAAGTATGGCTTCTTAAACTGCAGAACTGTTTGCACCTGTGTTCATATATATTTTCTTTATATGTTCTTATGAATGCCATTGCCTTCATAAGTTGAAAGTGTGTGCCAGTCATTCCTAATTAGCATAGGATAACCCCCACCCATACCCATAAAAGGGCATGAGACCACAGGGCCATGTGTGCAAATAGAAATCACAGAAACTGAAAAGAAAATTTAAGAAGTCAAGAATGCCTAAACAAAATTCTAAAGACAGGAAGTGCACCAAACTCAAACTGTAAAACAAGATGTTATATATAGCAGTGTAAGCAGAGGATATAAAATAACACAAAAAAACAATATATGGGATGCAGTTACGTGTTCAGTTAAAGGTGTATTGGGAAAAAATCGCACAGTTGATAAAGTAAAAAATAGATTGATCTCAAATCTAAAGTCAAGATAAATATTTTCAAACACTAAAGGGAGGGGGACAGGCTTGGCAAAGTTATCTGAGCTGGACCAGTGCATCTTTGGAAACACAGCGCTGGAAGTTAACCCTCAGTTGAGCACCATTCGGTTTGGGTTTGGGTCAGCCGTTGGCTGGGCTTAATTTTTAACACTGCTCATGTCTGTAATCTGGGAATACAAGCTTTAACCATCTGTGTAAGGGACAGGGAAACACAAACGCAGAGCATCAGGATTAGGGCCGGTTCGGACACAAAAGACAGAATAACCAGCGGGCTCATGTCCAGGTCAGTTAGTTTTCTCTTAGGCTCTGACAGACATAAAAATGGGACCTGAGCCGCTTTCTGATCTGGACACTGACCTGGGCGCTGTGTGGTGCGGTTGCATCTCATAGGTCACTTCTTGTCTTCATAGTTTTCAAAAGGCTAAATTTGAAAGGCACATTTGAAGTAAAAGCTGTGGCTGTAAAACCATGGAATATGAGACACATTTAATATGTAAACACCAGTGTGTCAGGACTAAAAATGATGAAAAAAAAAAAGACTCTTATTGTACATAAGTGCTCAACATGTCCATGCAGTTAAAATCTTTAGACAAAAAAGAAATCAATAAAGATTATTCATTTTGGTCTTGAAAATTAATTCTAAACTTCAAACCACATACAAGCAATATATTATAAATAATACAATTATTTGGTAATTTAAATCCCACTATACACTGTTATAATTGAAGATTATTTTGCACAAGCAAGTCAAGTGTTCATAAGTTTGCTCTTGAGTGTGCAGAGATTCTGTTGTTACATAGGAACAAATCGCAGATAAGAAAACATTGTTGAATGTCAGAAACTTCGTAAAACTTTGTAAGTAGGTTTCAAGAAGAAATGTCTTCTTAATAGCGGTTGGTGAATGAGGAGGCCCATTGTTTTTGATGAATCAATTTTGATGAATCAATTAATCCAATTGAGTTGAGGAGGCACAAGTTTCCCAGACTCAGTGATTCAACTCAGAATCCTACAGAACAGAGAAAGGAATCTAATCCTGGCATTTAAGAAGCTGAAACAGAAAATCTAAAATTTGCTTAAATATTTATACATTGGATATTATCAAAATTGTTGATTATTTTCTAGCTATTGAGCAACTGGCTAATCATTATAGCTCTAGAAATATTACTCTTAAGTATTCCCTGTCCCCTCCTCTTCCTCCAGATTAAGCAGTTTGAACGGTTAGAGCAGGAAGTCAGCCGACCAATCAACAATGACATGACGGGTTGGGTCCCGCCCCCCCACCACCCTCTGGCCGACCAGCTAGCCCAGAATGGCTCTGAAGGCCCCTCTTCCTCCAAGCTCTGCTACGGCGACCAGCAGCTCCTCCTGTTTTACCAGGAGCAGTGTGAGCAGAATGTAACCACCGTGACCAATGCCATTGATGCCTTCTTCACTGCTGTCAACTCCAATCAGCCGCCCAAGATTTTTGTAGCACACAGCAAATTTGTCATCCTCAGCGCACATAAGCTGGTGTTCATCGGCGACACACTTTCACGTCAGGCCAAGTCTCCTGAGGTGAGGGCACAAGTGGCCCAGAATAGCAACATCCTCTGCGAAAAACTCAAAGACATTGTGATCAGTACAAAGACAGCAGCACTTCAGTATCCTTCCCCTGGAGCAGCAAAAGACATGAATGAGAGGGTGAGGGAGCTGGCTGGGTATACACAGCAGTTCAGGATGGTGCTGGGACAATTATTGCTGATGTAGGGGTTGAGAGGGGAGAAGGAAAAAAACAATGACACAATGAGAGGAGTAAATGCTCCCTGTAACACATCATTGATGACACTGTGTACACCCTTTCAGTGTAAGGTTGGAGACCTTCGACCGGAAGAGGATTTCCATTCATTTTGTTTGTTACATGAAGTAAGGGAAACCCTGAGACCCTGTCTGGGACTGGGAGGCTGACCTCATATCCATCCTCTGCTCCCTCCCTCCCTCGCTTTACACTTGGACCATTCCTCTTTAATCACTCCTTCCACAGCACGTTTTTTTCTAGACAAGCTAAAAGAAACATTTTATCATCAGTGGGCTGGGCCAATGGTTGTAAAATAATCATTGTAATTATTTAGGGTAAATATTTAGTCATAAACCAGAACAATAAAAGACCACAGAACTTCCATTGTATAAATATAAATATATGGCTCTTTTTTTCAATAAGATGAAAACATAAATGTAGTTTTTGACAGTATCAATAATAATATAATTAATATTGCTATACCATTGATTATGGCTGATTCTTTATCCTTGTATCTTTATTGTTATTGACATGTAAATGGAGATGTTGTACTATGTTTATGCTCTTCCATCCTTGACAAAGGCACACTTCATGAAAACACTGGAGCACACAGCCATCTTTAAAGTTCCCCTGATGACAAACTGACAGCTCTACATGTTGCCTCTGAGTTTGAGCAAGGTGTCCACATTGAGTTCACCAGTGCAGGCAAAACTCCTGCCAAAAGATGTCAACATAACTGTACAGTTCCAGTACTGTAGTTATTAATGATTATCTCAGTGCCATCTCAACAGCTTTTTTTGTAAATCTACGTCGGTTGTTTTGTTCGAGGCATGTATCGAGCGAAAGCGTGTAAAGGGTTAAAGATAAACAAATGCAATTAAACCTGTTTTTTTCTTTTCTGGACACTGATTATTTGGATGCATATTCAGTTTGCAATGAAAACCAGTGAAAAAGGTTTGGTCCATGTACAGAGGAAGATTTGCATTAAACATAGATTCATGATCATAGAAAACCTCCAGCTAAATTTGGTTTCATTTTTTATTGTAAAATTTGGGAAGTACTAACACAATCAGACAGGTTCCAAACAAACCAACTGGTCAGTCAGTTACTTTATTTTGAAAAGATAAGATAATGACCCAAACTCTCCATCACAGTTTAAAGGGACTAGTTCGCTGCCAAATTGTTAAAAGTTTCAGCCAACATTGTTTAAAGTTTATAAAGACCACCTGAGCAGAGTTACTTCTCCGGGACCTGATTAGGCATGGTTTTAACTTAGCTCCATGAACTGCACCATTAAAAATACTTTTTAAGTTAAACAATCAATTAACACAGTGTGATATATAAGCAGTGCATCTGAAAAGTAGTTAGAACCCCAGAAGAATCAGTGTGATCCACATCATGGCATTTCCATTCATTGACGATCCTGTGAAGGAAGGTTCTCAGATCCTGCAAGGGCTATTTGAACCACCCTGAGGGTCTTCAGAGACTGGACCAATCCGCTGAGCTTTCCTGAGGAGTACCTGTGGGAGAGGTAAAGAGTGTCAGAGATGGTGAACATCTCTTAAAGGCAATGGTATGCAGGGAAATAAGGAGAGCTTGTCTTGCTCTGAGGAGGTTTTAAATATCTTCATAGTTTTCCCAGGCCACTTGCATACACAAATGATCAAGGAGGCATTTTATTCCATTGCAGGTGGGTGCACATAAATGTACAGTATTTTAAAACATGTCTGTACATTAACTTAATTCTCTCGTGTAGACTTCCCCAATGTCTTTGGTGCCATAGACTGCACGCATGTGCATATTCCGACCCCAGCTGGACTTGACCCATAATCATTATGCGTATATCTACAATACATTCTGCTGGAGAGTTCAATAGAATACCACTTGGCGATAGAGGCTATCCCTGCATGTCTTATTTGCTGATGCTCTATACAGATACAGTACTAGAACAGATGCAGAGAGGGCCTTCAATCATGTCCACACCAAAACTAGGGCATGTATGGAAAAGCCTTTGGACAACTCAAGTTGATATTTCAGTGCCTAAAAGGCCGCAGGGTAAATCTGGCTCCTGACAGGGCCTGTGGCATAATTGTTGCATGTGCAGTCTTGCACAACAATGCCACACTAAGATGTAAGAGACTGCCCAGGATGCCAGCATGGGAGCAATGGCAGGACATTGATCCAGCCTTGCAGGAACTGGAGGATGGGAGACCATTGAGGGACCTCTACATACCTACCTATCTCAGTTAATTAACATGTCATTTGCATCACCTCTTTTGGATTAAATCCCTTTCATCTCTCTCCATCTTCTGTATCTCCAACTTAATGAGTAGCCGATGATATTTTTGATGATGGCAATATAAGCCTACTTATTATATTCCTTGCTGAAGTAGGCCTGCTCAGTGATAAAGTTTTCTCCTGCAGCCAAATGTAAAGTAAACCTAATTCAAAGATGCAGACACATATAAAACATTTGCAATTGGGTCTTAACAAGCCTTGTGTTGGGCATGTGCATGCAGGCCAGAATAATCGTTTTTAGAAAGAGGATAGAATGTCCCCCAAAGAGGCAAAAACCTGTGAGTTGTGACATAATCAACACAGCAAAATCATGGCAGAAAATATCTGAATCTGAATTGAATGCATTTGTTATAAGGGGGGACTGGAACTACATATAGGGAAGAGAGTAGAAACATTCTTAGCGCTGATCTTCAGTATTGGTATAAGAAGCCACAGAATTTTATCACAAACTAAACTTTTTCAAATCTGGTGTTAAAGTTACTCCACAACCTACATTGTTTTAATTGTATGTTTAATGAATGAATTGTCAGATCACTAGATACATTAAGACTGTGGTTATTAAAGGTATAGTTCACACAGAAATTAAAATCCACTCATTATCTACACACACTACTATGGCTATGGAGAGGTGGGTTAAGTGTTTGAGTCTACAAAACACTAGGAGTGTCAGGGGTAAACAGGTCAGAGCAGAATCCAAGACAATTGAAGTAACTAGTGACCAAAGCTTCAAACGTATTAAAACAGATTAAAAAAACATGCCTCCAAACTGCCCCATCCAAGTGTCAGCAAGCCCCGACATTAATGTTCGACTCGAAACTAGGTCATTACACCATGTTTTTAGGTCTAAAAGTCCACCAGAAGTGGCTAAGCTAGCGGACATTAGCATTTCCGACAGTCCCTGAATGCACCTCGTTGGAAGCTATCAGCGGATATTTAGGTTTAAAACTCGGTTTAAGGTAGCATCGAATTAAATGTTGTTACGTCCGGCCTAGAGGAAATCCGTGCTGGGAGCCAGGTAAAAGGCGAAGGCAAAGCGGCATCACCACCTGAGCCCTTACAGCTGCAGAGGGGGTGGGAATAGAGGTGTCTGAGTCTTCGCATTAGGTTTAATTTTACATTTTACTGCAGGAGATGACAGAGTCACTTCAGTAATAAAGTTGAAAAGTTCATTATAAAAACTTCATCAGCTAGTCTTCGTACTCGTTTGTATTTCACATTCCGTGAAATGTATAAAAGGCATCTTCTCCTCGGTACCAAAAAACTAACAATCAAATTAAAGTGGGAGAAAAAGACATTTAAGAGAGATGTCAGTATTAATTCAAACACAGCAGAAGGTCATCCTTGTCATTGATTAATTTCTTTTTTTGACAGCTTGAAAATAATTAATAAACAGTTCGCCAAAACTTTGACACGCTAACAGATTGTGACAGAAACCGAATTTTGTGTGTATGTGTTAAAACTTTTTAAAATATGTTTTTATTATTATGATCACAGACATTAAGAGTGTGAGCGTGACAAAAACTTGTCTCCGCCCGTCTGACATTCTTTGAGACACAGCTAATTTTAGCCAGAGTCATTGAATGGATCTCTCACTTAAATAAGCCAGTATTTCCGTTGAGCCAATTTGATGGAATATCCCCTTGATTTTATTCGGATTTTAACTTGATGTTACAATTTGCAGCATATTAGTACTTCTAGCATTTCCTCTGTTTTCTCCTGTGTTTCCGCTTCCCTATATTGTTGAGTGTTTGTCCCCAGTTTGTGCCCCCTGGCTGTTTGTGTGTTTCAGGCTACCTGTGGCTGACCTACTTTCTACTCTCCCACCAAACAACTCAACCACCTGCTGCCCATCATCTCTGATTGTCATCTGTGCCTCTTCAGTATTTGCCAGTTCATTGTTAAACCCATAATCGTAAATGACTCAGCCAAACTTATACATTGCCTTTATGCATACCTTTTGTTTTTGTGACTCTTTAGTTTTTACCTGAACCTGTTTTTCTTGAGCCTCAGACCTGCCATACTCATCTGTGCCCCCCAGCCACATTCAGCATTGCCCTTTGTCAACCTGCCGATAATTTACTCCTCCAGAACCCCTAGTGCTCCACTCTGCCCTAGCCAGACAATTCCGTGAATCAAAGAGCTGATACTCAGCCTTAAACTATTCCACTGTTCATGGCACTATTAGTCTGCCACCGCCTGCCTGTACATAACTTTCCCACTTAGAGCCACTCCAGAGATCTACCTTGGCCTGCTCAACAGTAGACATAGCGCCATTCATTCTATTGGCATCCTGCTCTCTCTCTCTCTCGGCATGGCTAAACTGGCCACCTGGAAGAGCAGGAAGAACCAGATGTTGGGTGAAGGCTGGACAGATGTGGTGAAATGTTTTAAAGGTTTGGTAGCAGCTCACCTGAGAATAGAACACGCCGTCTAGACCCTGACCAGTAACCTGGAAGTTTTCAGGTCTCATTGGGGGATCAGACAGGTTTTATGTTCACTGGAAAAGGGCGGTTCACTGGTCCTTCTTTTTTAACTGGGTACAGTGTGTGTGTGTGACATGTAGTGTTCTTTTGTAAAATATCATGTGATTGAAGTGTTATTTATTTTTTTGCTGATGCGATTATTGGAAAGATCATGAAATGAACTAAATAAAAGTTAATTTAAAAGTCAAAAATGTCTCTCTCTCTGCACTGCATGCTGGGCGTTTGGTGGTAGAGAGTTTGGTGGGCGTGTGTGAGTTTGTTTTTCTCAAACTTCTCTACTTTACTTAACTGTGTTTTTGTATGATTGTGTAGTAGTTGTTAGTTGTTGTTTTGCTGTGGTTGTCACTGAGACACGGAGTGAGGCTGGTACTGCAGCAGGACAGCCCAGTGGAGCAGGTGTTGTTGGCAGTAGGAGAACAGGTGGGACACAGGAACATCTCTTATGCCTCATGCATGAACAAAACGGTGGTCGTTTTTTCTGAAGGAGCAGAAGTTTGTGTCTCAGCTCATAGAGAGCGGCCTGTTCATCAAGGATCAGCTTGTCCAGGTGTCCCCACTGGTGGTGCCTTCCACCCGGGTCATTGTGTCCGGGGTACCCCGTTTATCTCCAACCAGGTACTCGAACAGGAGCTGAAGCACTTTTGGAAGATGGTGAGTGGATTCCGGCCAGTGACTGTAGGGATTTTAAACTGAAACATGTTCAATCTCTGTGGAGACAGGTCTTCATGTTTCTGAACTCTCTGACCCAGACTCTGGATGTTTCATTCTGGGTCAAACATGAAGACGGGTTCTACATTGTGGTGTATGCCAGTTCCGGTGGTGCTATTTATGAGAAGGAGGTGGTGGATTTTAGCGATACTAACACACACCCCGAACGTGTCTTTCGGCGAGAACTTGTGTGAGCAGTTTCTGGTGTGTGCATGCAAACGTGAATGTGGCTCTGAGGAGGCTATCAGAGGACATTTGGCTGCAAAGCTGTTTACCCCAGAAACAACCTCTGATTTATCATTTTACTGAATGGAGAGTAATGGACAGTGTGCTGTGCAGGGGGTGGTCTGTATTATCTATGATGTCCAGCAGTTTGTTTAGGGTCCTTCTTTCTTTCTGATATAAGAGATACTAGCTCTG